CTGCTACTGTGGAAGATCAGTGGAAGATGCCGCAACCAGAGCATTGGTAGCCGCGGAGAGGGAAGAAGGAACAGTGTGCTGAAGTTGCACTTCATGCAGGAAGAGCATTGATCGAGCTTCAACGAAGTTGGGTAAAGGAACGCGATGGCTAATAGTAGTAGAGACAGACTGGTAGGTCGAAGGAAGACCAGCCAGAATTTGAAGCACCAAGTCATCGTCGGAGATGGGAGAACCGACGGCTATTAATGAATCGGCCAACATCTTAAGCTTGGTAACATACTCATTAATGGTTAAGTCCCTTTTCTTTAAGCTATGAAACTCCAATTTCAATTGGAGAAGGCGGGAACCAAGCTGATCGTGGAAGAGTTTCTCAATGGTGAGCCACGCATCGGGGGCGGTAAGGGAAGAATTGGACCGAACTATGGCTTCCAAAATTTCAGTGGAAACCGTAGCTTGGATCCAGGAGAGGACAATGGAGTCAATTTTGGTCCAAGTTCGAAAAGCGGGATTTGGAGTGGATGAGGAAGTGCCGTCAGAGGCAGCGAGAGTTGATGGAGGACAAGGATCGGAGCCATCGAAAGGGGGTTTAGGGTTTAGGGTTTTTTTTGTTTTTTTTGTTTTTTGTTTTTTTTGAAAGAAACCGAAGAAAAACAAATTAGCAACAGTGAGCAGCAAACGGCAAGCGGCCTCTTCAGAAACAACAAACGACAAGAGAGCAGCAGCAACAGGAAACAGCAGCAAGAGCAGCGGTGGCCGGAAGAACAATCAGGAATTCAAGCAGCAGCAGACCTAAAAAGTCAGATCAAGGTCTGGTGAAGAACAGGGGAAGAAGAACAGCCGGCGGGTTCGAATTGGAGCGGCTGAAAAGGAATTGAAGCGGCCGGCGGGTTCGAACTGTTTGTCTATTTATCTGTTTGGGAATTGCAGCAGCCGGAACAGGGGAAGTTGTGTGGTGACTATGGGAGGTGGGGCTTCCGGCGGTTCGGTAGGAGAAGAACAGGGGATGCCGGCACGGGAGAGAAAGAAAAGAAAACTGACGGCGAAGCCCTTAAAAAAATTGAGAGATCGGGAAAGAAGGATGATACCATGAAAGAATTATTATGTGTGTTATTCACATGATATATTGTGGTATTTATAATACAATAGTGTAACAACCCTAGCCGTCTACATAAAAAACCCTAATTAGAGTTTCGATTATTTTCATATTCTATCAATTAAGGTTTCTCAGTTTGGTCGATGAATTGTAAATCTATTAGTAATGGATCATCCGTTAATATATAGAGATTCAAACTCTTTTTTGAATATTAGATTCTAACAAGAGATGCTGGTCTGATTCATTTTTCACTCCAAATCTCGCAATTCATTTACAACAATTTAGGCTTACCTATTTTTTTAGTAATATTTTTTAATGAAATTATAAGAGTAATATTGTCAATTCAAATATTTTATATCAGGGATTTTAATAAATATAAATTATCGCCCTTCATAACAAAATATTTTTTGTTCATAGCACTTTTATTAATTTGACTTATTCAACTGACTTTTAGTCAAATTTTCCCATAATCATTTGAGATGCACTCTCCTTTCAAAAAGAAAAAAAAAAAGCAATCAAAAGAATCAATTAGATTGCACAAAATTTGATATGCCATGATAATTAAAACATTAAATCTAAAAAAGAAGAAAAACTTTTTGTAATGTATTTTAATGGAACTGAACAGAATGTACAAGTAAATCTACAGCAATAATTTGCCAAATTATAAGATGTGTTGATAACTTGATCGACAGGGTCTAAAGCAAGTCTTAAATTTAGGGCCTTTAAAAAAAATTATAAATATTGATGAGTTTTTTTTTTAAACAAATCTTGGTTATTTAACACAACTCTAATTAAATTTGGAGAAGAAAAAAAATGTAATTGATTACTAGTAACTACTAAAATGCCCCGCGGTGGCACAGGTTGTGTTAGTACTATAGTATAAATTATATATTGTGTATATAAAAATATACATGTTACAAATGAATTAAAATTGCAAGCTTGTCTTTCGTCGTTGCATCTTATGCTATAATATAATTTTAATCGTTGCATATTTTAAGTTAAAAATTATTGGTTTTATAGAACGTCGAAATGCCATATGTGTTTGCCTCAGTAGAAGGTTTCAGCACAGAGTCCCAGGTTGCTGATTTGGAAACAATTTTTTTTAAAAAAAACAATAAAGCATTAGTTGATGATACATGTAAATATTTAAATTTCATTTCGGTTTGTGGACAGGTCTCGAGAAGATTACGATGAAGCTGCGGAATACGGCAAGAAAGAGATTTTCGCTGCTATATCGTTTCTTTTTTAGGTGACGCCGGGAACCCATCAAATATGGGTAAACCCACGTATGAAAAGTAGAGGTCAGGGCCAAACTGGACTGAAGACATGCTTTACAATTTACACGACCTGAATTTTTTCGGGGATTGCACATATGTCCTTGAGGATGTTTGTTTGTTTGAGTGAAACATTATTTATCTATATGGTTTTTCGTTGCAAGTCTCTTTGTTGGCTTACTATTACTTTTGATAGGCTTTTCTGGATCATACTTGTTGTTGCATTTTGTGTGTTCAGGTGACATATAATTCTTTTGTTACTCCTCTGTCCCAAAATTATTGTCCAGTCTGAAATTTCACTTTTAGTACAATTTGAACTAGAAATGAAAACCCAAACTGAACAATAATTATGGGACGGAGGGAGTATTATTTTTGGGCCTTTTGGTTTGTGTAATGTCAAAACGGAAGTGATTTTTTCTGTTTGGTTAAGTTTTTTTTTGTGTCTCCTAAAGAAAGGTAAATGACTGACTCTTGAACTTTGAAACATAATTTTTATTTTTATTTATTTATTTTATAATAGGAGGAGGCAAACGATTTAATTCTAAAACCACGGGTTGAAAAGATCGACAACGACTTAATCCCAGAAGGGCTCATTTAACACCAACAAGGTTTCAGGACTTGATGAAACCAACGATATCAGGAAATCTGATACAAAATTTGTCAAATGATAGCAGTAGTGGAACCAGTCAACCAGCAGCACAGATTTGAGAGGGGTAACTTTGGGTATATAGTCAGAAAAAATCGTCGGACATACATGGCGGGAGGTAAAGGAGTTCTCCGGCTCGGGAAAGGGTTCGGCCTCTGAACGATAGATGTGTTTCAATTGAACCCTCCAATCTCTCTTTAATAGCTCACAAATCGCATTTATCAAACTACCATGCATTTTATCCGATTCATCCTGATTCAAAACCAATTGCATCACACTCACATTTCCAACTTCAATTTCTAACTTCGCCACCTTGATTTCCCACTCTAGATATATAATGGTTCTTAATGAGACCTCTATCACTTGTCATTATGGTCTGAATATGAAAAAATCCATCTAAATTGAGATTCTTGGAATTGGATATTGCTGTCATTTTAATCGAACAATGTGATTGAGCATGCGTTAATCATGCCATCTGTAATTTTTAGTAACTTTTCTTGTGTAATTAAAATCATTAGTTTTGTTTTTGTTTTTAAATTATTCCTTTCGGTCTTTATTATAAGGCAATAATTTTTTAATGTTTTCCTCCGTCATACTTATAAAACATTTGATGTTTTTAAGATTTTATTCATTGCGTACATACTTAAATTGTCTAAAGTTTAAGTTAATTGGTTCCTAAAGATGTAAGGACATTTTTGACATGGGTGACAATGACATAAGTAGTTCACCAGAAAAACTAGCTTAACTAATGTCCTTAATTATAAAAATTAGTTATTTATATTTTATATTGGCATTCAAGTTCAAAACAGAAAATGATCAATTCGAAAATGTACATATTCTTTTAAGCATCGACGACAACTCTCTAAATTTGATATTTTGTTGTAGAGTTTGCCTTTCAACAAAACAACTAGATGCTTGCACCGGACAAATGGTTGGATATCTCATTTAATAAATTTATATGTAAACTAAAAAAAATATATAATATAGCATAACAAAAAGCAAATAAATAATATCACATAAAAAATTATTCCCAATGACCGGGCAACCAACGGACCAAGAAAAAAAAACACATGATTATGCTAATTGAATTTGATAAAGAGATTTAAATTTTGATTTTACTAATTTGTAGATTCCGGAAGTATGTTCGTAAGCTTTTCATCCGAAAGTAGGTTTCTTTTTTCATTTTTTTCATCTGATGGTCAAATAATCTGCCATGTATCAAAATTATTCCTGTTATCTCATTAATTTGGGCAGGAAAAAATTCACCAGAATCTGCCACCTCATCTACTTGTATACTGCTTGAATAGGATAAAAAGAATAATTCAATGTACAATACTATTTTGGTGCATGCATAAAGTTACTAAATTTAGTGTAAACTGTCAATTGCATAATCTTTGTGATCTATTTATTTACTTTGCTCTAAAAAACATGATTTGCTATATGATTAAATTTATAAAATGAATAGTATTATAAAATCTATCTCTATTAAAGATATCGTTGAGACCTTCAAAACTCATATTGTTTATAATATTTATTAATTTTTTGAATAATAACTTTAGTCATTCTTAAAATTAAAAATGAAAAAATTGGTACTTTCTATAGTTAAGTTAAAATTACAAAATAACCTGTATAATAAAATTATTACCAAACTATCAAATTTTAAACAATCAAAATAAAATTTAAACTATAACATTTAAAAATTTGAGTATCAAGATTCGAGTACAAAAACATTTATTAGTGTAAAACGATGTTTGAAATATTCTATTTTCACATTAAACTTAACACAAATTGTAGTGCAATGATTAGCTCTAACAAACCCGAAGGATTGGAATTTTTTTTTTTTTGGTATATTGCAGGGTGTCCATCGTCGACAACAGTGATTAATCCCTCTCGATGGTAGGCATCTCAATGAGTAAGAGAGCTGACTAAAGGATTAAAAGTTACTCCATGTCCAAAAAATTAAAATATATTTGTAACATCAAATTAATAATAAAGACAATAATCAACTGATGATTTTATTAATACAATCATGTAGTATTTATACAATATGAATGACTTCGTAAACAAAAAACCCTAGCTATAAATAATAAATCAACTATACAAATTTACAAGTTACGTCTTTAAATGAACCACAAATACTATACTAAATGTTGTACGGAGAAACTACGGAAAGAATTTGAAGATAGAAGAAATGTATGTATACTTTTCTCTTCTCGCTAGGCTTCTTTGGTGAATCTTTTTCCACAAGATTAATGAAAATACATATTTTTCCTAGAGTTAAATATCAAAATAATCTCGAAAATCAAACTAATACTGAGCCATCAAAGAAAAATACAACAAAAATTCTTATTTAAGCTCATTGCTTGTACATACCCTATGGTTCCTTAATTAGAGAAGCAACCAAACTGTCACAACATATACAAAGGATTTTATACAATTCTACAACACCACAGTACGACATGTCCTTGATTTGCCACCAACATTTCCTCGATTTTATACTGACCTTCAGATTCTTCACAGAAAAATAACAATCACAACAAAAATACTGCGTGAAATCAGCTCGAAGAATTGTGTCCTAGCAGGCATCACTGGCATTCAGAACAGGGCAATGTGGCTCTGTTAAGCATTTTAACTCTCAAGGGAGGATTTTACCAACCATAGCAAACCAGGATCGTCCCGCTTTAAAACCAAATAAGCTTCTGCCTTTCCTGTTTCGTCAACAACTGTTTCTTCGCTGAAACCTACTAGCTGCAACAATTCCTTGGCAGCTGGGAAAAGAGAGAGCAGTCAAAGAGCCAATAAGAAATATATTACTTTTCTCAAACAACATTTATACAATGATTTTCGCCGGAAAATTCACAAAAGGAAAATTTAATGTTCAGCAAAAGGAAACTGTATGATTAAAGTGAATTGCTATTATTGGTTCCAATTTAGATAATCACTGAGATGGTTCACTGTCCTTACCACAGAAGAATGATTACATATTATGTCTGCACAGCCCAGATTACTCGAACATGCAAATGGATGTCAGCCAAATTTGGTTGTAGGACCGTAACACAACCAATTACATTAATCCTAAAATAGCTTGTTACCCTTTACTAGTGCTGTTGAACCCTGACGCGGGCAACGGAAACGGGCTTCCGCCCAATAAAATACGGGCATCAAAATGACATCAATTTTTCAAAAATCCAGTGACCAATTCCATATTGTTTCTTCCTCAAATTTTACATGCAATCTAAAGAATCAGGATCTCAACTAACTTAATATACAGCAATCTAATGCTTCGGTTTAATACTCTTTTTAAGACAATATATTCGAAGCACCCAAGATAGAACACAAATCTACAGTTACTTCAGTATATGCACGTTACAAATTCCATCAAACAACACAGTCCCTGATCACAAAAAACCAAAATCCATACGCTTACCAGGGGGAAAAAACAAAAGTTTGTGGTTATTCACGCCACTCAACGATTAATTCCAAGGATTACATGGTATCAGTTTCTATCTCAACATGCAGACAACAGCACAAGTAGAGTTGTCCATACCTTCATAACGGAGTATATTCCTCTGAACTGTAGCATTAGCCTGCAAGCAAATCATCATTAGGAAAAATAGAACCCTCTATGCATGATAAATTTCACATGAATAAGAACTCTTTTTATGCACAAACTAACTGTGCTACCTTCCGGATTTTCTTGAACTTCATGTCACCAGGGTGTTCAATGACATTCCTGAGGGTGATAAGAACTATAGTTATCATTCATGAATGAGTTTCATGGCAAAAGAAAAGCATTTTTTTTAAAAAAAAGTTTTAGAAGTGCAGGAGAGAGCATACCGAATTATCTTCAATAGGTTTTGCTGCACAGTAGCAACATGCAAGAGATCCACTTCAGATCTCAGCATATCTATTGCCTTCTGCAAACGACTGTAAAGAGCTGATACAGGGTCTTGGATTCTGTGCAGCTCCAGATCATCTGGATCAGGCTCATCAGACAGATCCATTGCCACACCACCATCAACCATCATTGCATTATCATCAGGTTTAGGTTCAACTGCACCACCTTGAGAATCATCTGGATCAGGTTCGCTATAAGGCATGTCCACTGTATACTCGTTTCCAGCTAAAGAATCAACAGGCTCAGGTTCTACAGAGATGACATTGGGCTGGTTTAAGTTTCCATCGATCTCCATGGTTCCAGTGTCCTTTGATGGAACTATAAGAGTGTCAGAAGATTGTAGTTCATTTTCCATAGTTCTCAAGATCTCTGAATGAGAATGATCCAGAGGGTTCTCAACCTCATTCTCCAGCTCCTTATTCACTTGAATGGATTTCAATGAATGGCCTACACCAGTTACATCAACCTCCTCACTTTTCAAGCCAGAGGGGGCACACCGCCCATCTGGACCTTCCATGACTCTGGGAGAACTCCCGACACTTTCAGATGTTTCTGCAAATCGTCGGTAAGCAGCAGCCACAGAAGATGCACGGACGGTAGAAAACCCTGACTCCTGGCCCCCAAGTTTCCGTGATAAAGTAACTGGTTTGTCATCCTCATATTCATCATGAAATGCAGGTGTGTGCCGGACTTCACTCAGGGTGTGGCCTTTTGACTTGGTCCAATCCAAAACAGCAGCTTCTTTATTTAGCTGCCCAATTACAAAGTAATTAGGATACTCTAGAGGGAGATAATTTACACGAGTTCGAATCACAAGTCTAAATAGAGTGAATAATGCCAGAAAAGCATTTACGCGAATATTTCAACACTTTTGACTGAAAAGCAAGTACATGACAGTAGTTAGTCGGGTAATGATATATACATGCAAAAGTTATGCAGGGTGATCAACAGACAGCTCATTACCTGTTTGTCCAACGCATAGAAGTTTGCATCATGTTCTGAGTACACCATGTGTGCCTGGAACCAAAAATGAAGCCAGACAACTCAGCCAGGACACATATGAATACAGCAAGCATAAACTGATAGATATAACGATTATTCGAAGTTAAGCATTTGGATCCGTAACAAACCAATCCAATCTAGATCGCAACAATGTCCAATCGGAATCTCATTCAATTTCCACATAAGTTCTTTTCTTTTTAATCAATGGTTTCTGTGCGACTTTTCAGAATTCATCCCAAATGAAAGTAAACGCAGATCATCAAATTCCAGAACTTGAATACACAATTCCAATTTCCCTTAGTTGAATATATTGCTGGGATGGGAAAGATGAGCATATTTGATGGATGGATTGGAAATGAATAGTACCAGAATATTATGGCAGGAGGGGAAAAAAAAAAAAAAAAACAAATCTACCGGTGGTTTACATTATAGGATTCGACATTTTCTAGAATCGATTGATTAGACAGGTTCATCATGGAATGTCCCTAGATAAATGCACATTAAACTGAAAACCTTGAAGTTAAGGAAAAGAACTCACAAGTTCATGACAAAGAGTCATTTTAATGCTTTCATATTTCCTGAAACCCTTGAGGTCATCAGTTCGAAGACGCAATGAAATTTCCTCTCCATGATTCTGCACATAATTTTAAGGAATATCAATATTCCAAATCTGAAGGCCAGGAGACTAGAAATTAATATCACATGGAGTGAACACCAACAAAAGACCAAATAATATGAAATGACAGTGTAGCCCTAGCATCCAATTATATCAAAACTTTTAACATTCATTCAGATATTTTCAAAATGACACCGCCACAAAAACACAAAGTCATTAGATTAGCTTCACGTTCAGAGAAGCCATCCGATTTTGCACGTCTATCTAACAAACAAATGGCACCAAACAATTATTATATGATAGTTTGTATACATTAGGACCCAAAAGACGTAAGAAACTATTAAATAGATGCAAACAACAGGCACCCAAAGAAACCCAATCAAAAACTAATATTATCAAAGATTCTTTGTTTGTAGACTTAATCTCACCTTATTGAAACCAAGTATGCATTTAGGACTGACACCAACATAACCAACTGGAGCCATCTCTGTCATAATTCCCACTCGCCACCGATGCTTTAAAATGGCAGAGAAACAAAAAATTTAATCAATAACATGTACCCCAAATATTTCCGTAAATCATACAATGGACACCGAAAGAAGGCATAAACAAAAATCATACCTTGTTCATTATGGCTACAATTCCAGGATCAGCGGCAAGCCTATGCATCAACTTTAAAGCTTCAGAAGGAGGAGGGTTCAACTGCAGATCAATAAGACAAAGTCAGTAATGATTTCCCTACTTATGAATCTCCCTCCACTCTTCTTGAGAATGTTAAAAATCCAACCAAAAAAAAAAAAAAAAGTTAAAAATTTAACCAGACAAGTACAAAAAATCATATCATTCTTTCTAATGGAGAGACAATTTAGTCCATAATAATAATAAGATGTTTCCTCACCCTCATTCAAAATTGCAAACCATAAATTCATTGCAAGGTTTAATCTTGGTCTGACACATGAATTACTAACACATGAAAGGAAGAACCTAACACAATAGTACCTCAATTCCAGGTAAACTGAGAGTCCGAAACTCAGAAAATATGTAATTTCCTTGAGGAAGTCTTGTAAAGGAATTCTGATCATACTTAGCCCTCTGCCTCAATCTCTTTTCCTCTTCATCAAACCCAGCTATTCGAAGATCTGTCTTTGCACTTTGAAGGACCTCATCCAACTCATTTTCAGGCACTCCCATCATCCTAATTGATTTTCCCTGGTAAAGAACAAAAATGAATTTCGTGGTAAGGAATTCGGACGCCATCTGGAAAAAATCTTTGACGAGGGTACTGGCGTTTCTAAAGGCCTTACAATTACTTAACTAAATCAGACAGGAAGAAGAAAAACACAAAAAAAAGGAAAAAAATTTAATCAGTATAATGGATGCATTCTAAGATCCTAGTTTGATTACTTTGACCTTGAGCAAGAAGGTGTAAGTTTATTTTTCAAAAGCAGTTAGTCGTGATTGACAAGAAAATTTAATCAATCAAGTCATACATGAGCAGCAGGAAATTTTAATCAATCAAGTAGCCAGTTCACTGATTTTTTTTTTTTAAATCCCGCATCGATATAATTCAGGTGTAGAGAGGGAACAATATAAACTGAAATGGAAAAACCCATCTCTGCTCTCTTTTATTGGGTTTAGCCTAAGAGATATCAGACCCAATTTACCCACAGCCATTTAGGAAAGAAGATTGGTAGCTTTTTCAACCAATGGGGTTACAGGAAATTCCCAATGACTAGCAGGTTAGGCCAGAAATGATCAGAAAATAAATATTCACTGCAAAAGGAGGTTATAAATTAGACTCCACACCTCAATGGTGGATGCCGCTTCCAAGGAGAGATTAGAGTGCTCATCTGAAAAGGGGTATAGTAATTTTGAGCCTTTTTTGGCAGGAACAATTAGCCGCATTGTATCACTCTTAACATTGGTCAGTTCTTGCAATCTGTCCCCCAAGTCTTTGAGCTTAGCAGATGGGTCCATCTCAAGAATGAATGTTCTGCCCCTCCATGTGACAGATAACTGCTCTTCTAAATGCTGCATCGTCTAATGTCTGCTCACGAAAAGAGACCGCCCTTAAGAAGAAGATACTGCCAAATCTTAAAACTTCAAACAAAAAGCTAAAACTGATAAAGATGACAAATTTTCTTCAGAATAACCAAAAAGGGGAATAACAAGGGGCATGCAGAAAAATATATGCTTTCCATTCAAGAAAACAATCTAGCTCCAAAGCTCATCGTCAGTTTTAAAACACAATATACAACTGTATTAAGGATTATTAAGTTCAAAATGCGTTTCGCAAATACCATCCACAACTACAAAAAGATAAAAGAAACAAACAACGGTGCCGCAGCAAATGAGATGGTGGATTGGTGTTCTTCCATGAATCACTGTATTCAAAAGAGTTGCTTTGCGTTGCACAGCAACATCATTGGGTAAATACAGGGAGGGAGAGGGGTGGCGACATGAACATATTTACTATCATTGGGTAAAAGTTTGCATCAGGTAGGCACTATGTTAGTCCTTTCATATAAATCAAACATTGAAACTAAGCGAAAGATTACTACCACCATCCCAAGAACAAATCCCATTTCCAAACTTTTCTTTGTTCCAACATAGTTTTATCTTTTATCATACTTCTGATTACTATTTTCCCTCATACTTCATTTCCATTTCTGCCTGACCTCAATACCATATATGACGACTCAATTTTTTCAAACCCCTTTACTACAGCTACAACACACAAAACCCACATATTTAAACAGAAAGAAACCAATCATAGACATTCTCCCAGAGATTATTTGGCAGAAACACTGCTCAATAGAAGGGGAGGAAAAACCATCTAATTCTCGTCTCCGTAATTCACCCCGAAGAAAACCGCGTTTGGACACCGGAATTCAGAGATTAAACACATAATTAAAGGAAAATTCAAAATACAAATGGCCTCATGAAGTCAAGGAGAGGCTTGAATTCTGATACCTTGGAGAAGAAGTTGTCGCTTGCACGCAGAATTCCGAGCGTATCTTCAGTGTTTAAAGTCCTAATTAAGAACACTTGAATTGAATTACGGATGATCAAATTGAATGACTGCAGATTTATGAAACTTACACTGGCAAATGTAATATTAAAATCTGGACCTTCCAACAAGAATCAAATGATGAAAGAGAGAAAAAATGAACAATTTATACAGAAGCAGAAGAATAGCGGTCGGCGAGCGCGTGTCTGCCAAAAAATATTCATACGCACGTGCTGACGTAGGCATGATTATTGATGAAGTCGCTAGAAGAAAAGTCAGACTTATTACTTGGGCCCAGATTTTGTTGGCAGGCTAATTACTTGAGATTAATTGGGCCGAAGCTGATATAAACCCAAGACCCCGTTTGAATCGAAGTATTGTATACAGTATTTTGAGAGGTTTTTTTTTTTTGTGGTAAAAGCATTTTTCCACCAAAATGACTTTATCGAAATGAACAAGCATAAAACTGAAGTAATTACTTTGAGATCGAATGGGTACAGTGATTTCATCATATATCTTGATCCTTTCATTCGAATTATCAAACTTAAACTCAAATGTTTGTAATTATACGTTTATAAATAAGTTTTTTTTTTGTTTTTTTTATTCGAATGAGAAGTAGGTTCAATGGTAAAACAATCCTTGCTCTAAGAAGAGGTAATGGTTTCAATCCCTCACTCCAATAAAAAGTGAGGGGTTGGTTTTCACCTTGCCTATTAGTAACTCTGGGGACTTGCGATGGATAACCCATTAATGAACTTCTAATTTCGTACTAGAACTTGTCATCCCGGGTTTGTCTAGGGTGATTTACCTCTCACTGTAATGGACGTGAATTTACCCGTCTTTAGTGGGATTCTCGGTATTTTTTTTACTTCGAAAAGTAACTTATTCCATTCTATATTTCTATAAATTTATTGATACAATATGTATTAGAAATGGATAGAGGAAGCACAAACCAACCAAAAGAATATTGTCGATCATGAAAGGTTCATAATTTGCATTAATTGACAAGCATTAGGAAAGTAAAAGTTCCATCATTTTGAACGTGTATTGGTAAATCATGAAAAGACTTGACAAATACCCAACAAACTTTTCTGTTATGGTGCTGCTAACTTATTGGCACGAGCTTAACTAGGCATACAAGTTACACACATCTAAGTGTCTAAGGAGAGAAAGGCTGGAAAAGCTTTTTGCTACTAATAATGCAGAAAAGTGAATACAAATCAAGCAAATAAGTTGGGTATCAATTTATCATGATGTCCTGTTAGCGGTATATTTTGGTAAGAAAAAACTCAAAATAAACATTCAAGGTCACGGAATATTATCTCATCAAATTCCCAGAAATTTGTCAATGCGAATTCCAATTTGAACAAAATGAGAGCTGATCGATTGTGTTGATGCAACAAACATAAGACCCCTTAGTCCATTGCCAAAACTTATGCTGCAATTTTTTACAAAAATATCCACCACTTCTTCAACATTACAACTAATGGTTAAAAATATGAATCAATAAGCTCAAGTTACCCTTACATAACATAAAGGCTTCTGATCTAATTTACATCCATGCATCAAACCAACCCTTCACTGTTGGAACAATTGCAACTCAACTCTGATCCATATTTGGTGGCGCTATGCAGTATGGTGTTTTCTTTTGTTTTCCTTACAGGGACTCTTTCCCCTTATCATGATCCACCGCCCATGGCAATGTCATTATTATTGCTCGTCTCGGATGTCTGGCCAGCTCCAAAAATAAAATCCTGAGGTGGAACGCTAAGAGCTGGACTGGCAAACACCGAAGGTGCACCAGTATTACTGAAAGCAGGAACGGGAACAGGATCATTCGGCTTTGGGAAACCAAAGCTAAATGATGGCACACTACCTGGGGCGAAGCCGGGTGTAGGCTGGCCAATATTCTCAACAGACTCAAAAGTCTTCATCTCAAACTCCATTAGTTGCTGGTAGACAGCTACAAAGACGAGCGAGTGGTAAATGCAACTTCAAGTAAGCTATGCAAGTGACATAAGAACTTATGAAACTTGTTTTATGTATATAAGATGCAGAGCCTTTCTTTTTAAACTGACGCAGCGACATTATTGTTGAGGGACAACAGAAGACAAATTTTTGGCAGAAGTTATAGGAGGACAACTGAAACTAAGTAATTATCAAAGTTACAGCCTTTAACATTATATTCCCCATGGTAGTGGGGGCAGACTTTGGTGAAGTTTAGTGTTTGTGTAATACAAAGTTTAAACATAAAACAAATGACATCTGATCAACGATATCAACCAACTGTTTGCACACTAATGGAAGTGGACGATATCAGAACATTATAAATACGAATCGGGCAGAAGAACTGAAAGAGAAAAGAGTTAAAGGCAAACCTTCGGTTAAATCAACAGAAGGTCTCCGCTCCTTCACCCACTGGTAGCTCTGTGCAAATCTCCATCCCTTGCTTTTCATCAAGTAAGCTATTACAATAGCTGGTGACCTGAAAAATATAGCAGAATCATACATATAAAACTCTAACAATATATTGCAAATCTCACAAACTAATGACGGGAACCAGTGGGGTGTGGCTAGTTCACTACAAGAGAAAATAGTATATTTGAACTGCACCCTTCAAAGAAAAATCAAGATTCATAGGAGAAACCAGAACACTTCGCCTACCTATTTTTCCCAGACATGCAGTGTACAAGAACACGAGCGTTTTCCCTTTCACATTGTTCTGCAGAATAAAGACTCAAGTCAAAAACAGCACTAAATAAATTGCTATCAAGATAGCAGTACCATAAGTTATATTGACATGACAGTATAACAAACCAAATAATTTCGCAGAAACACATAAGCTTAAAGGAGTTATAAGGTTGTTCAGAGAATTAGCCCGCTGTGTTGACATATTGACAGTGATAATCTTTTGTATCCAGAGATGTAAGATATAGACCAATAGTGTGAAATATGTGCCAAATTTTATGCAAGTTGTGCTTCACAATTGCAAACCAGGGATCGACTTTTGTAAAGGAATGAATTAACAAAATCCTCCAGAAATTAATAAGAACATGTGAAAGAGTTCGTCAATCTAACATGATTTCTTTTCCATCAACCAAGGAAGCAAAAGGACTTAGATCTGGTCTGATCACACACCCACAACTATCATAAAAAAATAAAAACCATGAAAGTGTACACTCTATTCACCCAGCCTCACTCCTCCTAAAGGGCAGTAAAAAACTGATTCATCAGAGACCTTTCTTTGAAAAAGGCTTCTACAATCAACCATATTGAAGTTCAACAACCTAGATGCTCACCTAAGAACCGAATAGCATCTTCAAAAGGCAACTTCTCCTCCTCAGGAAGACAATGATATGTGAAAGAGTTTTTATACAAATTCTGACAAGCTGGAACAGTCTGCACATGGAACAGAAACCAGGAGTTATACTCTGTAACAAATAAACAGCAGTACATACGTAAGCATCCCGTTTGACTAAAGAGTTCATTGGAAGACACAGTTTACATCCTCCCATAGGCATGAAAGGCATGCATTTGGAATACAGTAAAATAATGTCTTAAATAACGATACTTTCGATACACCAATTTCTACACGAGATCAGCCCTCACAACTTAGCGGAATTGGGACCTTTCAAGCACCCCTAGCCTTGATTGAGCAAAAAGAGCATTTGCCAAGGGTCAGTCCCAAGCCATTAAAAAGTTCAGTGCAACTAGTACTTATTAACCTTTATGCTTATTCCAAACATCAGACAATCACCTTTGTAAAAGTAACTCTGTTCTTTTTCTTGAATATCGCAAAATGCTTACAAGGAACTGTGGACCGCACCAACAGATATCTCATCTAGGTAAACATCATATACTGGTGGATTACACCAGTCAAGATGATTACTCTTCCCGGATTGTTCCAACACAATCTAGACAAATATATAGACTACATGGGATCATCTAACAGATTGCCAAAATAGAGTAAACAAGTTCTTCCGTTTCATCTGTCAACATCAGCTCTCAATCGCTTAAAACATTCTTGGCCACCTTCAACAAACCTCATGCTCATACAGGCTCTAAAATCCAAACTCTGTTAAATTACCCAGTATAGTTAATCAGTTAGCCCATTGCACCTAGTTAAAGTTCACGCTAACATTGACACCACACACTTGGTGTCCCATCCAAAACTAGATGCCTGAAAACCAATTTGACACTGCAAGAGCCCAAGGAAAAGCAAGGAAGTGAACCATCGCACCTAACTCTCGACTTTAAGGCAAACAAAGACTCGTCTGATTTAAATCTGCATTCAAGCAAGCACATACTCTCGGTCATAAAAGACGCACTTGGTCCAAAATAGTCGGCACTGATGCGGAAAATCAAAATCCACTGGGGCTTTCAATATCAACAAAGCAACAAAATCATCTAGTTTTAGCCCTATAACAGCGGACAGTTTAAACGTTTTAAATTGGAGACAACACAAATAAACTTTGAAACACTGAGATATTCCTAGTGAAAGAATCCCCTTAAACCCTTTACCTTCGTACTCTCAAACCCAGCATCAGCAAGCTGTTCTATAAGGTGACTCCTTTACTCATGGACTCACAGTCTCACACAAGCTCCTCTACATAAGAACATCCACAAATCTTCCTTAACCATGTTATCCCACTACACAAAATTTTTTTCACACATCTTGATCCCAAAGACAAGAGTAATTGGGCCTCGTAGGGATTTTAGCAAAAAACTGAAGCATGTTGAGACCAAGCACAAGCTTCAGAAATCCATAACGAAGGATTTAGTTATTGTGCCCAAGTCCATTAGGATCCATAAAAGAAACGACCACGTTGGAAAGTTGAATTACCTTGTCTTTATTCAGCTGTTTAGTGGATGACTTTAATTTTTGGGCAAAAAAAATTCTGTTACGAGTTTGTTCTTCTGAGCTTTAGTTGAAAAGGGTTTATGCAAGCCATTATTCTATCAAAGAAATCATTTTGATAAAAGTTTTCTAGGAAAGTTCATGTGACTTATCCTTTTTCAGTCTTGGGGTTATTTCCGAATTAGAACCATAATGAAAGGAGGCACTAGAGGTATTTCGTACCTTCATTACTGGAGAGTTTAGATGAAAACACCGTACATTGCAATTTAGAAATTAGAATTCATTGAAAGAGAGGTCTCCTTCATTTAGTGGACTCCAACTTCCAAATTTTGATTCTTTAGATTATTATGAAACTGTTACTTTTCTGGGCTCTAGTAAACATATATTATTTATCTCTTGGGCAGAGAATGAGTTCATCATCGAAATTGGTTTTAGGTCTGCAGGCTTCAAATAAAATGGGGAATAAAAATTGCACCTTTCTTTTCATCAAGAAAACCCAGGGGCAAAAGTTCAACAGACAAAACCCTTGTATTTAACACATCCCTTATAAGAATTCTAAAGTTTTGTAAAGAAGTTTAAAATAAATAGAATTATGAGATTTATACCAAAAAATCTACATAACATACAAAAAACTCTAGGGCTCGGCCAAAATCGAAACTTCAAAAGCAACCGTACTACATACGGAAAACAGAATCTTTGGGACAAACTATACAGCCACGTTACCAAAAGAGTCAAATGCGTCAACTTTCTATTAATTCTACTTGAGTAACATTGACAAACATATAACAGATCCACACTAATCTCATTTCTGATGGGTCATGCACACCACAACTAATTTCATTTCGGAAGGGTCATTAACACTTCCAGTTTGATGTTGAAATTGATTTGATCCTAGGTTGACAAAAGTTTGCAAGACAATTTCTACTCTTCATATTCATTTTCCGCTTTCCCTCAACACAGTACAGCCTGGTAAGAATGGTCAGCAACTTGATAGCCCAGAGGGCAGAAAAGGCTTTTCAAACTTAATCAAGGGGCAACATTTAGCCTTCAATTCAGTAACAATTTAAGGTAAGAGGATCAACACTTAATCTGATGCCCATAACACCAAACACCAGCTCTTTCCGAAATAATCTCCCTAGGATCAAAATCTCGTCTTTTGCATAGAACTAAAGCATGATAACTAGCGATATTCAATACAACCAACAAGATGCACACACCAATGCAAATACATAAACGCCTACCATACAAAAGAATCAAACAGTATCCGAACTCCCAGGCTTAGAACTGGTCGAAAAATCAGGAAATCAACTTTCAAAGAAAGAAATCACCAAAACGCAGAAATGAAGTAGACGGATAAACATCGATAAAAATACAGTACTCACATTTAGAACCCGAGAAATCCCTTGAGTCTTGAGAAGTTCAGCACGGGAGGCATTATCGTAGCTGCCCAGATAGAGAAACTCGGGCAGGATCTCGGAAGGGAAAGCACTAAGCTGAGAAGACGACGACTTCTCCCCTCCGGCCGGCATACGGTGGCCACAAACGCCGCAAACTTCACCTTCCTCGTACTTATGATAATGCCCACAAACTCCACATGGATTCTCTCGCTCTCTTTTCCTCATTTTTCGATTGATTTTCTCGTCCTTTTGAGTGGCAAGTTCGTGAATTTATAGGATGGAAAAAGAAATTATTGAAGAACAATCAATGGGGTCGGTTGATTGTCACTGGGAAGTTTTGGAGTACGGAGGAGAAAAAGGGTCGGCCTGGGTTTCAACGGCGAAAATCTCAGATGGGGTTTTCAATAATTCTTTTTGGAACTTAGGGGGGATTTCTTTTTTTCTTCTTTCTTTCCCTCTTTTCTTTTTTCAGCTTTAATCCGGTATTGATAATTTTCCATTTTCAGCTATTACAAAAATATTGTGACAAGTTTACGAGTGTCAACTTCAGATTTTGATCGTGTCAAAATTATCGTACTATAATAATACTAATACTCCCTTCTATTTACTAGAGATATATCATCTCATAAGATTATGTACAGTATTCATTAAACAATTAAAAAAAAAATCAATCACATCTTATTATAACATGTCAATTTATTGTGAGTAGTAAAACGTTCATCATGATGCAAAAAATTACAAATTCATGTCCTTTCGTTATACATGTTTCGTTTGTAACAATGATTTAAATATGTAACTGATAAAACTAGTTATTGAAAAGATACTGTAAAGTTACATATTGTGCTTGAAGTCAAACTGGTTGTATATTTATGTGTACACAGTACGCCAAAAAAATTACTTGTAAAATACACCCACGTCTCCGTGATCACAAATTATAAGGTATAAAAAAAATTTAGAAAAAAATCAAAGATGTTTTATATTTTTAGGGGGATTATTCTATTACTCATATATATTATCAAGTGGCGAAAAACCTAAATTCAACTGCGGTAATGATGAAGTTAAATTCTAAATTTATAATTTTATTTTGGACAAAACGCACTTTTGGTTCCTAAATTATGAAGGGTCACAACTTCTGGTCACTTTTAATCTTTTACTGACAAAATTAGTCACCATCTTTTCGTTTATTCAATAATTTTACTCAATTTAACGCTCAACTCTTTTCAAACAACAAAATAAGTCTCCTAATATTTTTTCTCAACAATTTTATTCACTTTAACAGAATTTTCAAAAATTTAATAGCCCAATTCAATTTTCCTTTAAATTTTTATTTTTTATTGATTACTTAATGGATTGTGGGTCCGACAGGTCTTTGATCATAATTTTTTTAAAAAAATAAAACAAATTAAAGGGATTAATAAAAATATTTCTGGCCAACTTCCTAAAGCCCAAATATTTTGCTCCGCAAAAAATAAATTCCAAACCCCTCCCCCGACAACGAAAACGATCAATAATGAGGCTCATTTTCTGGCTACTTTGCTGGCGGAGAGATGATAGTGAGACGTTCGGAGTAGGATATTGCGGTTTAGGAAGTTGTCCGAAAATACTTTCATTATTCTTTGAATTTTTTTTTTTAAAAAAACATTCTGATCAAAGAACTGTGGGACCCACAATCAATTAAGTAATCAATAGAAAATAATGAATTAAAGGAAAATTAAATCGGGCCATTAAGTTTTTAAAATCTGTTAAAGTGATTAAAACTGTTGAAAAAAAAGATATTAAGGGATTTATTTTATTGTTTGAAAATACATAGCGGATCCTAGTTCAGTAAAAAATTAATTAAAATTTTTAAAAAATTTAATGGAGAAAAGAATTGACCGTTAAATTGATTAAAATTGTTGAATAAACAAAAAGATGGTTACTACTTTTGTCAGTAAAAAATTAATGGTGATCAAAGGTTGTGACCCCCCCATAGTCTAACTTTGATAAAGGCTCCACCGGCTCCTCGTATTATATAACCCCATCCAACTTCTCCACGAGTTTATGGTTTATTATCCCAAGTCAGTGTAAAAGGAGGAAGAATATGTTAGATTGACAACCAATATAAAATTTTGTCACCTTCATGAATATGGATCATATAAGAAATAATGTGAACATTAAGACGCCACCCGTTACACGTTACGTGTCGCAGGGTTCGACTGTGTCGTCGTGGCAAGGACCACTACATCTCCATGAGGGACTTGGGTGTAGTAAGAAATGTGCAAGAGGCCCCGAACGTCAAGAATGCATTACGAATCAAATTTTTCACTTCTTGACAATGACTGCTACATTTTCAGGAGGGTGTAGGAGTAGTGAGAACTAGGAAAGAGACCCAACATATAAAAGAATTAATAAAACAACACAGAAAGGATCAAACTTGTGAAATAGGAAGTTGGAACTTAAAGACCTTAACAAGTAAATCTCTAGAACTAGTAGAGTGTATAAGAAGAAAGTGGGTAAACATAATGTGCTTGCAAGAGACAAAATAGGTATGAGAAAAAGTCAAAGTTTTAGATAATACCGGGTACAAACTTTGGTATATTACAAGAGATTGGAATAGGAATGGTGTAAGTATCATAGTAGATTCGCTATTCATAGATCAAGTAGTAAGGGTCGTCAAGAAGGGGATGTAATCATAACTGTAAAGATTATAATAGGAAGGAATCCATAAATGTAATCAGTATATATGTATTTCAAGTAGGATTAGATTATCCACCAAAACCAATATTTGAGAATATTCGGAGTCAATGATCCAATCAATCCTTCAAAATGAGAAAATTTTATAGGTGGGGATTTAGATGGTCGTGTAGGAAAGGAAAACGATGACTACGAGAGGTCACATGGGAGTTCTGGTTTTAGGATACAAAATAATAAAGGTAAAACTATATTAGATCTTTTGGTGGCATATATATGACTCTTGTTTGAAAAAAAAAATAGATGAATACTTAATTACACTTAAAAGCGACTCTAATAAAATTACAAATTGATTTTTTCCTAGCAAAAAAAATTGATAGAAAACTTTGTAAAGATTGTAAGGTATATATTACTGAGCGAGTGTATCACGATTCAACATAGGTTATTAGTTATGGATCTTAAAATTAAAAATCAATAAAGGTGCCTAAGATACCCAGGATAAAATGGCAAAATTTTAATAACAAAGATAAGAAGAATAGGTTCTCTAAAGCCTTAATTGAAAATAAAAATTGGAATATGGAAAAAGATGCTAATAAAACATGGGAAAAGGTTACTAAAAAAATAAGAAAAATTGCTAAACTGGAATTAGGAGTTTCAAAAGGTACTAAATGCAATAATGAATCTTGGTGATGGAACCAAGATATTCAAAAAAAAAAAAAGAAGGAGAAAAAGGCTTTTTACAAAGCATTATACACTTGTAGAAGCATGAAAATTTGGGAAAAATATAAAACGACTTAAAAAGAAGTTAGAAAAAAAAGGAGTAAGTGAGGCAAAGATAAAAGTTTTATTGAAAACTTTTACAAAAAGTTAAATACTAAGGAGCGCAAAAAAGACATATATAAAATTGCAAAACTAAGGGGGAAAAAAATAAAAGATTTAACCAAAATTAAAATGCATAAAAGACAAAAAAATGGGCATATTTTAGTTGATAGTAAGATTATAAAAGTCATGGCTTTGTCTGGATTGTCGCAACGTTTTCTCAGTTTTAGGGATCTCCCCTTCATTACGAAAGATCTTCTCGTTCTTGATCAATAAGAATTCCCTTATCTCAGAATCAGATAGATGGTAAGTCGTATGCACTGCCATTTTCTGTGATTTTAAACTTTTAACAAATTGGCCTGGTTTTTTTTTTTTAAAAAAAGATAATAAAATACATGTTGAAAAATTATTTTTGTAAGCTATATAATGTAGATAATAGAAAAATAACACTAGATGAATCAGAGCAAAGTGGGAAACATAAGAATTTCACGTATTATAGGAAAATCTAAATTAAAGAGGTCGAAAAAGTTATTCAAAAAAATGAAAAATAGTAACGCCGCGGGCCCCCATAATATCCCAATAGATTTATAGAGATGCCTTGGCAAATTTGGAATTGAATGGTTTGTGAAACTATTTAACATAATCATGAAGAGTAAAAAAAAAGCCTAATCAGTGGAGGAAGAGTACACTAATACATTCGTTTACAAATGAAGAAGATATACAAAATTGTGCTAACTGTAGGAGCATAAAACTAATGTGCTACACTATGAAGTTGTGGGAAAGAGTGGTAGAAACTATGTTAAGGCAAGAAACAAGTATAATGGAAAATTAATTCGGCTTTATGCCGGAAAAATCAACAACGGAATCTATATATTTATTAAGAAGACTATGTGAGTATTTTAATGAGAGAAAATAAGATTTGCACATGGCTTTTACTGACCTTAAAAAATCATATGATAAGGTAAATGAAGATATAATATGGCGAGTGTTAGAAAAGAGGGGAGTGAAAATTGGATAGATAAATGTATAATAATGCAACAACATATATGAGGATCCCCGTAGGGACTTCAGATGAATTTCCAATTACGATTGATTTGCATCAAGGGTCAGCATTAAGGCCATACATTTTTGCCTTGGTAAATGGTGAAATTACTAAAGATCAACAAATAGTCATCCACGAATGTATGTTATTCACGGATGATATAATTTTAATAGAAGAAACGAGGGGGGTTAAATGTCAAGTTAGAAACTTGGAGGGAGGCGAGATAATCTAAGGGTTTCACTATAAGTAGGGCTAAAATGAAATATATGGAATATCATTTTAGTAACCGTAGGATTAGTAACATAGTAACTGTTAATATTGGTGAACATGATGTGAATACATCTAAAAGTTTTAAATATTTAGAATCCATGGTAGAAGAAAATGAAAGTATTGACAAAGATATAACACATCAAATTCAAACCGGGTGAAACAAATGGGCGCGTCCTCAACACTTTGTGATCGTAAGGTACCATTGAGTTTGAAAGGTAAATTCTAATCGAATGGTCGTGGCGATACTTTAAGGATCCGAGTGTTGGGCAACTAAATATGAAAATAAGCAGAAAATGCGGGTAACGAAGATGAAAATATTAAGATGGATGTGTGGGCATACTAAATTTGATAGGATTAGAAATAAATGTATTAGATAAAAAGTAGGGGTACCTCCAATAGACGAGAAAATGAGAGAAAATTGCTT